CCAAAGCTTCTATGAGCTCGGGGGTACACTTTAACTTCAGTATTCCATCCACCCACGCACGTTTTTTGAAAAATAAGTCTGTCACAAACTTGCCGAACCTAGCATACTCTGCTACGCCGATTTCATACGTTGGACACTCACGAAAACCAATCACTTCCTTGTAACTTGATGCCATAGTTACAGGATTTTTCAAACCAGATTTTCCTCCTGCAAAATCAAAGATGAAATGCTTAATACATGATGTTATACACTTTGTAACACACACGCATTCTTTTAGCAACACTTTAACTTCAGTATCCCATCCACCCACGCACGTTCTTTGAAAAATAAGTCCGTCACAAACTCGCCGAACCTAGCATACTCTGCTATGAGAGAAGCAGCAGCAGCACTGCGCTGATTGACAAGCGCCAGGAGAATGTGAAGAACTTTGCCCACATGAGAAATTCCATGGTCAAAGCTCTCCAAAATCAATGGCACAAAGTCACACACACGTATACAATGCCAAATACACATATATCTGAAACACAACACACGTATTTATAATTAAAACACAATCATTGTGCTAATATACATTGGGGGCCATTTTGAGAGTCCATTCATGTTTGTTTCCGAAACCATTCAACGGTTCTACAAAAAGTTTGCTTCTCTGGTTCTCTTCAACCAACCCTTCCCCTGCAAGCACCAGTGCTTCGACGGACAAATCGGCCATCGAGTATTCCGTCAGAAAATTGCGGTGGAATGGATGGTGGGTTACCTCAAGTTTTGTCGTCCAAAAATCCTGCCTCTGCCTTAATTCTTGCCAGAGAAATTACGTTATCATCGTCATCATCCTTGTCATCTACATACCCATCCATTGGTGCGTCATCCAAAGAATCGTCAGTTTGCTTCTGAGCATCTTGCTCGGGCGTAATACAACGATTTTGCAATTCTTGAGAAGCTGGTGGCTTCAGAAGAATTTCGGCGTTATTCACTGCCTCCAAGAGCATGTCTCCGTCCATCTCCTCCAGAAAGTCAATGTCTGCTTCTGACAAAACCTTAGGATCTGACTATAACAACGCATGCATTAGGTGAAAGGATTGACTAAGCCACATTGCGAATGAGATCTCACACGAACAGATGGGATGTTTTCTGAGGGTACCGAGTCACTCGATCGTACCACAGGATTAGAAGCTTTCCCCATGAATCCTTTTTCATCCGTGAAGACAACCACTGGTTCATTTCCTGATGCTTCGCAAAAGCAGCAAATAGCAAAGAGCTTTAACGGTCGTTCATCCCGCTTCTCAACGTCGTCATCTGGATCATTATTAAGTCTTCGCCATTTGGACATCAACCGTTTAATTTTCCAGTCCCATATCAGGAGATGACCGTCG